GTAAGAAAGGGTGTCCTGGCTAGCTGCTCTCAGACTGAAAACACAAACGTTAAACCTACAATACACTTTATACAGACATTTATCTATTCCCTTTGCAGTCTGACAGGAATTGGAGCTGTTTTTGTTTAGAGAACTATTGCTTGATCGAACAAATCTGCTGTGCACCGTATCTTTTCGTCATCGCTCATATGATCTGTATCTTTCTTTATTCTAAGGAATTCACATTTTTTTTTTTAAACTGCATTACTTACTTTTTCTCGAAATTAGAATAAGAACATTTCAGCTATGGAACATCCACACAAATAAGATATAAACAATTGCTATTTCAGCAGCAAGTTCACTTGAATAACACAAAGATAACACACAAGCAGGTGTGCTGTACTAGACATAGAAAGGCTGCAATATTCTTCATATTTTCAGCAGAAAAAGAATATATTTTAGAACTGCTGACTGCATGAGAATCAAGTTATACCTATGATGACAGTGTCAGCAGTCTTATTGTTCCAGGGTTCATATGGGGTGGGCAGATGGTAAATAATATCACCTAGCTTCCTTAAGGTGTGGTGACTACATGTTCCACCTCAGCAAGTTAGACAGGAATAAGATTTGTTTTCTTTTATATTTTGATAGAGCAGAATCACACAAGATTGTGTATCGAACACAAAATACCAGTTTCTCCTGTCTTTTGACCACTTTCTGATAGACTAGATGAAGATAAATGTATGAAAGGGTGCTGACAAACCACTCCTTCCCCTCCAACACTTTACTACTACCTACAAACTATTCCTATGTTGAACCAGACAGTGTCATTAAAAGGTAAGTAAGATTTATCTGCTTATTTCTGTTGACATGTAATTATGCTCAACAGATTAAAATGCAGAAGTAATTTCTTAAAAAGATGCCAAAACTACTGTTTTCCAGATGTACCTATTCCCAGAGAACTGTCCTGAAAAGAATGGGGTTTGCGCTGATCTGGCCATGGATGGTGAAAAGTGTTCAGCTCAGTTATAATTAAAGTGGATTACATTTAATTCATCAGTTTGTTATTGCTGTATTGATGTATCCATTATGGAGATTTACCTTAAATTTCTGTCCTGGAAGCACAACAATAAGTTAGTGGAAATCTCCTCAAAAAAAGCAAAAGCCCTTCTCTAAACAGCTGTCATTGGAACAGGTCTCCCCATTGAAACATTACCCCATACCAACTGTATTATTGACATTGTAAAATGTTGATGTCCTTTCCCTTCTCTTTCTGCCCCAGCTATCATAAGGACACATAATGAGTGTGTGTCCCACCAACTTGTACATACACAGCAAAACAAGCCTGACGAAGGTCAATACAAGGTCCAACAAAAGAAGGTCGCAGGAGGTTGTCATCAAGCTGTGTGAAATGTCTTTTAATTGTGTTTGGGCAAATGTTTACAGTTATGGCTAACCTTAAGGCTGCGGTAAAACATGAGGCATAGGCCTTGGTTTGCATTAACTTTTTTCCTGCCCACGATATAAGCCATATGGCAGAACACAACTGTTTCCAGCTTGCCACGTCAGTATGCCTTACGTCACTAGCTTTCACCCTTCTGCTAAAAGCGCATGGTCACTTAAGCGACCATGAACTTATAACAGAAGGGTCTCCTGTAAATGAATGGCTGCTAGCAGCTATTCATAAAAAATCCAGGCCTCCACTGCTGCCACCCGCCGCCCAGTGATCAGTACGGATCCATGGGTGTTAGTAAGCTAACTATGTCCTCAGTTATTTACAATGTCCCCATTTATGAATGAACAGGAAATGATCTACATCACTTCCTGTTCATTCATGATTGGAGACATAGAGGGTTATTCACTATTGAGAAGAAGGATCTAGCCGTAGCTTTGGCTGATCCTTCGGCTCACTTCGGCCGCTGGAGCCTTAGGTTCAGTCGAACTGAAGGCATAGTGTCCCCTGTAATAAACATATAGTGGAGTTTTCTCAAATGTGACTGCAAAAGTGGAAAAAAAAACACTTTAAGAGATGCTGAGTAGCTGTCTCCATTTGTCATCGAAGAGACAAGTTAGTGACATTGTATTGTAGATAAAAGCAATCAACATACAAAGCATTTTCAATCCCCTGATTTATTTGTCATTTTAAACGTGAATTATAATTTGTCTTCCTTATTGTAAAAAATAAATATAATCTTGAATGATAAAGTTACAAATATGTAAATAAATAAAAGAGCAGCTAAAACATACTGGCAGACTAATTTACAGTGAAGAATGTATTATTCTGACTAGTATGAGAACAGACTAGACATGTTATGTCCTTCCATGTGTATCTCCAGTAGCAGTATACAGAGGCGCATAGGTGAAAAGAACAATGGAACTTATTATGAAGTAAGCATTACATATTGCGGATGAGTAATACTGGCAAGTAAAAGCTTTATCAACAACAATACAGTACAATGCTCAGTAGTACATTTCAGAACACAATACAGTTAAAAAAAACAAACAAAAAAAGTTTCAGGGGAAGTAGCTTTGTGGGAATTCGTTTTTCTCTTCATTATATAAATTACATTTTCTGCTTTGTACAAAAATAAAACAGTTCTAATAAGAATATTAATAATTAATAAATATTTTAATATAAATATACATTGTTATAGCTCATCCTTAGGATTGATATTCAGTTCCTCACTTCTTTCTTGCGTATGGTCATCTTGATCTAGTGAACGTATGACCTCATCTGCTTGCAGCCTCTCCTGGAAGAACAGAAAATTACTGGTATGCATTACATGGGTCATTTGGGAAGCAATACAATAACTATAATGAATGAAAATACAGCTGTTGATACAGACTTAAAAGTAGAACTATGGCCTACCATTAAAAATATGTGCTGCAGCAGTTAATTATCGGTGTATCTGCACTTACAGTTTTCTCTTAGTTCCTCTGCAAAGTCTCACAAATAACAGTTAATCCACCTCATTTAGGTTCGCGTGATGGTGTGGCAATAATGCTGCACTGCTCCTGAATTCAGAGCAGAGTTACCACTCTCTTGTAGGCTGTCTGCTTGCACTACACTGGGATGAGGCTCTCAGCATGGTCACTGCTGATTTACAAGCCTGTAACTTGTTTGTCAGCACCTGACCACAACTAGTCCTGTCCATTGTTTTCTAAATACACAGCACTGCTTATGTTGCTGAAACCCTCCCACTGTGATCTGCAATGTTTGGGAGGGGGAGTGTGTGAGATACAGATGAAGGAAGATTTAGCTCAATCAGGGAAGGTAATGGAAGTTTTTTTGTCTACTTTATAAGGATTGTGCATCACATAGTAACTGAAATTGGTAATTTTTTTAGACTGTCTTACAGAAGCCTTTAGCTGAATGTTAATGGCATTATCAATAAATATAACATATGAACAGTGGTGTTTCATAGTAACTAATCAGCACAAAGCTGTCATTCATAAAATCTTAGATATATAAAGAATAATGCTGGGCTCGAAGTTCGACTTGAACATCGGAACATTGTTAGTATGTGTGTTCGGAGAACACACAAACGATCAGGGCGTTCGGTGGGCTGTTCACCCGCCGAGTGTCCCACAAGGCACTGCGCACCGCACACGGGTACAAGGTGCTTGCGCCTTCCCAGTGCAGAGGGCACATGGCCTGGTATGGCGGGGAGGGGAGTGCTCGCTCGCCCCCCCCTTTCCTGCCCTGCCAGGCCTGTGCTCGGATCAAGGGGCTGGTTGAGAATTTTAGGGGGCACCCCACATCTTTTATTCCCTATTTTTGGGGGTGGGATTCCTCCCTAAAATTCCTACCAGACCTTAAGGGTCTGGTATGACTGAGGGGGAACCCCAAACACTTTTTTTTAAATTGTGACTTGGGGTCCCTCCTAAAATTCCTACCAGACCTAAAGGGTCTGGTATGACTTTTGGGGGGAACCCCAACCTTTTTTTTTTAAAATAAGGTCCCTCCTAGCTTTCCTGCCAGATGTGCCACTTTACAGGCAGTTTAAGGGGACCCCCAGGCACGATATTTAAAATTAACTTTTTATTTTTATTGTTTCACTTTAAGCAATGTTAAAATCACTGTTCCCTTAAAAAGGGTATTTTTAAAAAGTGTTTTTTTCTTTGATACATGTCCCCCAGGGCAGTACCTTGAATCACTATGCACTTGTTATGGCCATTAACCTGCATAAAAGCCTTTAAAATGGGGACATTTGATTTTTAGAGTTTTGGTCCCATAGACTTGCATTGAGTTCGAAGTTCGAGTTCAAACTCGAACCGAACTCAGGTGTGTTCGGCCCATCACTAATACAGAATGTAGAGGAAAAAAATATTAACAAAAACAGCCAGAACATCAGAAAATGCAGCCTTGCAGCCCAACATAGGATACTGATATTACTAAGGCAAACCAAAGTGTTACAAAGGGAAGAATCTGATCAGCTTTATATGGTATACACATCTGCTTGTACTCCGCAAATACTGTAACTGGCTGCTATATACAGTAGCCCATTAGTCTTTCAGAGGCAAAATTTCCAAATCACAACCTAGCATTTTCCTATTAACCCCTTCGTGACGGGAGACATACACTGTACGTCCCGCCGCAAAGGGACCAAATGACTTGTCACGTACACTGTACGTGACAAGTTATTTGCTGCACTAGGAGGCTGGTAACCGCTGAGAATCAGCGGTTACCATTCAGCAATGAATGTCTAACTATCTAGGCATCCATTAATGAAAGGGTTAACCTTTTTCAGACACCCGATACCTTAATATCTGGTGTCTGAGAGTCACAGCAGAGCGGACACACATGCCGGCTTTTGCCAGCATTCTGACCGCTCGTATAGATCGAGAGAGATATCTCTCTCAAGCTATACTGGCTTTTTTTTTTTTTATTTATATTTGAATTTCAGAAATACACACATAATGTATCTATTCTTGAAAGTAGAATGTTTCAGTTTTCTGAAACATTTAGTGACAGCTGAATCCTGAACTGCTGCAGGATCAGTGTCACTAACTTATTATAGGCTGTTCTGAAGTTTGAAGCAGCCTGATAATAACCAAAAATGTATTAATTTATCAAGCAGTAATAGTGAGATTAATTCACAATAACTGCTTGATATAATTAAATAAATAAAATAACATTAAGTTTAAAAAAAAAGTGAAAAAAAGTGTTAAAAAAAATTGTGAAAAGTGTAAAAAAATAAAAAAATAAGTGTAAAAAAATAAAAAATAAGGGACAAATAAATGAATGTATGAATCGCATTTTTTTTTCAGCTGTGCTGGTTTTGTTGAAAAAATACTACAAATCAAAACTGGGAAAAAAGGGGTTTTTTTACGTTTTTTCCTCTTTTTTTATATTTTATTTGTCCTAAGTGGGGCGTTAGACACACATATGTGATATAAATATATAGGCCTATCTGTCCTCTAAAAAACAATATATAATATGTGTGGGTGCACTTTGTAAGAAAGTATATTACTGACGTGAAAGAATCACACATCAAAAATTTCAAAAGTGTGTCAGTCATTTACGAACAGAAACCAAAAATAAGCTCAGTCATGAAGGGGTTAATGATGCCCAAAGGGTATCTGTAATAGTCAATCCAACCCCAAAGATAACTTCATATTCTAGGTTTGATTTGATTGCATTAAACTCACCAGTTCTCTGTACATGGGATCCAGTGTAAACCACAGTGCTACAGCACATCTCTGCCCTTTTGTTACAGCTTTAACTCCATGAGGGTTCTCTCCTCCTGAAGAGAACCCAACCAAGCGGCCACATTTAGGTTTTATGGAAGCCTAGGGAAGAAAAGAGGAGGTGAGAGCTCTCATACATTATTGCATGGAATAGGAAAGTGTTCCAGATGTGAGATGGACATGGCCAGCGTACACTGTATACCAAAGTCAGTAATAAGGTCATAGGCAGCATTTTGGATGCTGTAACTATAAAAAGAGAGACTATTTCTCACAAAAGTAATCTTTCAAGGGGGCATTCACACTGAAATGTGTGCACTGGATCGGTCTCAACGCAAGTGCATTCACTTGTATTTGGATAGTATGTTGACATGCCTTGCATTAAGTTGCAGAGGGTTTTTTTTCTTGTATAGCTATATAAGATATTGGTTCTGCCTTGGGTTGATGTCTGTTACATTGATATGCGTTAAACATGTGTTGTGTTGCATTATGCTGCAAAAAGTAGAGCCTGCTCTACTTTCTTTCAGCGGAAGGCAGCACACAGAATCACAACACACTAGTTTGAACTGCTATAATTCACACCCATTCATTTTCAGATGCCCTAGCACTAATAATGGTATCCATTGAAAAACAGATGCCAACACAGCTGGTGTGAATGGGATCTTATTGCTGGCTGTATCCTGTTATGCTGTGACACACCTTAGCTGCTTTTCTCTGGTACTCCCAACAGCTGCAGAAAACAGGGAGAAGGGTCCTGCTGTTCATTGTAAGGTCCAAGGGACATTAAAAAGTCTTGTGGGAGTGGGAGGCATATTCTGGGTGAAATCATATATAGCAATTTCTAAATTTAACATTAAAAATAAGAAGTCTCTTTTGAAATGTCTCTCATTTTTGACCCCATCTCAACAAAGGGAAAAGTAATCCAACAAAATCCATGTTAGATTTCAATAATTTTTTTAAAACTTTCAGAGATTTGGATTTTGCCAAAGTTTTGCCAAAAATGTATGAGCAGAACTGTGGAGTCAGAAATCAAAAGATCTCGCTGCACTCCGTACCGAAGAGAAAAGACCCGTACAGACGGGTGGGTGCTTGTAGTGGCCACGGATGGCACCGTGATAAGATCAGAAAGAAAATAACGTCACCAGCACTCCAAAGTATAATCAAGCAATAGTCCATTTACTGGCACATTGCCATTCAAATGCAAGCGCTTTCGGGGGCCTCAGAGGGTCCCCTTCATCAGGCTCAGAATGACACAGCAATAAAACAATATGCACCTTAAATAGACATCCAACTGTGAGGTTAAAACAGACCCCTCCCATTGAGAGAAACGTCAGCACAAAGCCCATTCCCGGAATAGGGAATTCAAATGTAAATAGCCTGCGGGCGATTACAGCTAAAGAAGGGAGCGCAAATGCAAGCGGGCCGTTCGGCCGGGAGTTTGACAGGCACGGGCGGTTGTCATGACAATAGGACGCTATGTCAGCTCTTGGCACCGCCCCCTCGTCCACGCGTATCTGTCGCTTGTGGAACGCAGGGAAGTTCCGGCCTTGCGTTCCAGCCGTCATATACATATGGGGGCCACCTGGTTTAGCGCATGGGGATGTGCGCAGTAGTGTCGAGGGAGCATGGAGCCGGCTTCCTTTCTAATCAGGAAATAACCAGCCGCCTGGCTTCCTGATTGGCTAGGAAGCTGGCATCACTTGTTGCTTGGCAGCCTAGCTTCCTGACCAATCAGGAAACCGTGGTGGCACCTCATTGGTCAGGAAGCCAGGCAGCCTCGGGAAGTGTAGTGTTGTTCTTTTGATAGAACACCGGCTTCCCCAGGCAATCAGGAACCAGCATCAGTATCGGCGAGTACCAAAAAGAAAAGATCAGTACTCTCGATACCGAAAAAAGAGTGTTGGTGCATCCCAAGTGAAAATTTACTCCTAACTTAGCCTGTTTCCTTGACCTACACCCTATCTTTAATGATAGATAGATTGGTCTTTTTTTGGACACTTCCTGTTATGGGGTGACAAATGTCACCCTGTCAGATGTTTCCCTAATTGAGACTACAAGTGGTTGTGCTAACACGCACTGTTCATCATGGTCTCATTGTCACTATCAGTAAACAAGACCAGTGCAATGATGTGCAGCCACATCTGGACCAATTGCCTAAAAAAGGGCTTACAGCTACTCTAACCCTTAACCTGACATTCAGTTAACCTCTTCACTCTTAGCATTGAACCACCAAATAATTATAAGCAACCCATAACCTAACCCTAAAATGTAATCCTTAAAGAGACCCTATCACCATCTTAAAATTGCAGGTAAAAGTACAGAAAAATCAAGTATTTAAATGCTCGCTCTGCAGTTTTTTTATATTCTATAAATAATTTGTATTTACTTGCAATGTGCATGTAAACTGGATAGAACATGACTACCAGAGGAATTCAATTCCCTAGCCCAACTTCTCCCTTCTTGCATGTCATAGCATTCTCCTCCTGTCACTCTCCTCCTGAGTGACAGCTCTAAGTCTGCTAGGGCTGCTGATATCACATTCAACATGGCAGCACCCTGCAGCAGTCTCAGAACTTTTGGGTGTCTCCACAAGAGAAGCTCTTACAGGCAAATATCATGCATTAAATGCACATATCATTTTATAAGAAGATTTTTGATTAAATGAATGGTCTGGTGACAGCGTTGCTTTAATGCTTAGCCCTATACTACAACTAATCTTAATCAAACACTAGCATAACCCCTAGAATACTGAATCCATGGGCAATTACAGTTCAGTATTGCATTTCATATTTAAAACAGTGAACTGGAGAATTGTTACATTACTTTGAATTCTTTAGCATGTTGGTATTTTGTCTGCCAGTTGGGTGCTATTAAGAATCGTGAATAAAGAGGAATATGAATGCTTAGTAATGACCTATGAAGCCAACACAGCATTTCTTCCACACTATTTATTACCACACTTAGTAGATGATCAGATATCCAGCAGATTTACCGTAACAGTTTTGGCATCCATTTCAGTGAACACAAATTCTCCGCCATCAAAATCTCCATTAAGGTACAACAGTGCGCTGTAAGAAAACAAAATTTACACAGTTATAATTGTCAGTATTAAACTGCAGTAGTATTAGAGAGAAAAAAAGAAGCAGCAGTATTTTCCTCTATTAATGTACTTAAATGTCTTTTTCTACATTTTGCTCTCAATGATGCTAAGATCAGACACTTTGCACTGATCGGTCTTGTGAACACAGATCTCTCCTATACAGTAATGCCCTTTTAAGCCCCACTGTAGGCTCAATTCACAAAGCTTTGATGCAAAGTGCCCCACACTGGCTCTAAGAATTGGGAAGAGTACATTTTACTCTAACCAATACTTCTTTAATTTATCTTATTATCCTTCCCTTTCTGCCTTTTTCTTTTTTTCAGTATTGTACTTTTTTTCTACAAAAAGGCAAACTCGTCTGCTTTTAAAAATGGCTGGTGTTATGGAGGGCCGTATTAAAACTCAGAGATCACAAATGTAAACAGTACTACTTTCTTAAGGTGTTCAATACACTTTACAACCCTCGCAAGACTTTTGTCTTGCGAGGGTTGTAAAATAATTTTAAAAAACTTACGATCTGCCCATCTTGGACAGGCAGATCGTACTTGTGATCATTGCAAGCCCGCCAAGGCTTCCAATGACTGCAATGCTGAACGGGCAGTGTGCGCATGCGCACACCGGCCCGTTCGGCAGTTGTCGAACAAGCAGCCCACTAACCTGCCGAGAATCGTACGATTCTCTGCGGGTTTTCCAGCCTGCTTGTTCGACGGAAGACGTGCGACCGTACAGTAGAAACGGTCGCACGCTTTTCATAAACTTTGCGATTATCGTGCGATCGTGGGATTTCCCGCGATTCTCATACGATGATCGTACAGTGTATGGGCACCTTTAGAAAGAAGATTTAATCAATGATGGGTAGGCCACAGCAGATTTAATGAATATGATTTGTTTTATTGTGGAATTGTTTTTTTTAACTCTTTCACCCCCCTCCTCTCCAGTGCATCTCCTCTCCAATCTGTCTCTATAGCGTCTGTATATTATGTATATTACTACCCAGATCATTCACAATAACCTTTTTATCGCCATCCTTTCACTGTATGTGACCTGCAAATTGGGACGCAGTGTAAGAGTTGTATGCATTATAATACACTCAACCCCTTCCCCCGAGCCTCCTCACCTGTTCACGTCTTTGCAGGGAGGAGGCTGTGAGCAGGATCGATCCCTGGTTTATCTGTGGGTGATTAGTGAGGTCTGCAGCAGCCCTCACTATCACACCCAGATAGCCAGGCATCGATGCTGCTCACAGACATTCTTTCCTTCACCGGAGCTCAGAACTGTGAGAGCTCCGGCCGAAGGAAGCCAGAACTGACAGGAGCTACTCTGCTCTCAATGGTTTTAATTTTTAGATCTCACATAATTACAGAGAATTTATGGATATTTGATCTTACATGAGGGGGGGGGGATGGTGATATATTTAATTTTCTGGAGAAAATTAATTCAGACTAATAGATCTTTGTTAGATCTAGTAAGATCAAGTGATTTGCGTGTTAAATCTCACATAATTACAGAGATATTTCACATAAAAAGCAGAGATATTAGGTGGTATTACATAAGGGGGGCTA